CAAAAAATATTTATTTCAAAAAATTGATATATTATTTTCCTTATGAATAATATTATATGAATATGAATATTATAATGAAGTATTATAATAAGTTATAAAACTATGAATGTGTACTGTAAACTTTGCAGCGAATTATTATAAAAATAGCTCACACAAGTTTTTGTTGTATTAAACAAACGTATTGCTATCGAATTCTTTAATCCCTTTTTATCTACTTCCTATGACATATATTTAATGTTGGACCTTATTCGATTCAAGTACTTTAATTATATCATGCGTATATTTTATATAATAATCGTGATTTTACAATAAATAAGAATTTTATTAATAGAATAAAAATAAGAATTTTATTTAAATAACAAACTTAATTTTAATTTTTATATTTTTTTATGAAATAATTCTGTTAAGGAAAGTGAAATATTTGTGACGCATGATTATCGTTGTTTTCTGATATTTTGACGTAATTACTATCTCTACAGATATTGCTTATACAGATATTAGCTATACAGATATTGCGCGATCTTATGTACATCGTTCTTGCATATGGTGCAATACGATAAGTTATTTGCTATGCCAAATCAAATGACAATTGTTTGCTGAACTATAAATAAAAAAAAAACAATTTTATACGATACTTATTCAGATTACGTTAATATAATGTTCCAAATTTACTGAAAATGTGTAATTAAGACGCGCGCGTGTGAATAAGATTGAAAGTCGAGCACAAACAAATATTTGTGGCCTTTAGTAAGCTTTTGACTATATCATTATATTTATATTGATATCTCCCTTTTTAACACGTATGATTAGAAAAATATTCTAATATACAATACATAAAAATAAAGAGAAAGAAAATTGAAGATGTCTGTTGCATATATCCCATATACAGATTTTCTTTTTAAACAATAATTAATAATTAAATTAATAATTAATACGAATATATTACATATTAAATTAACTCAGTGAGACAATTAGAATAATTTTTAAAGAAGCGATTTGTCGTATCATTGGTAGCTTTCCGCATTCGAATCGAGTCTATCCAACAGTCAATACATAACGAATTATATGCACGGTTATTTGTGTAGAGACTTGTAATACGCTTGCGCTATTTTTCTAGCTGATCCGTATTCGCAAAAAAATTCAACATTGCGAAACTTGTGTGAACTTGATAAGTCTTGTGTACGTTCGTTGCTTGGCACATTCGCTACGTGATGTATATATATATATATTATATATATATTATATATATATTATA